CCCTCGCCGAAGCCCCCGCCCCGCCCCGCAGACCCGGGATGTGCATTTCCTGGAATTCCTGGCCCGCCCTGGGGACAAGCCCGACTTCCCCGGGCGGTGGCCTGCCCGAAATCGCCGGCCCCGGGACGCAGGGCTGGAGCCACCTGTGGGCTCAGGCTCCAGCCGCCTGGCCGGCTCTGCCTCCCGCCTGGCCCCTCGAGCAGCATTCAAGCTACCGCCTGGGCGCCTGCAGCGTGCCGGGCCGAGCTGGAAGCCGGGAACGGTGAGCGTCACAGACCTCGTGGGGCTTTCACTCTACTGGGCGAGACACATGTTCATCACATAATCGCACAACATAAATGTATGGTTAGGGGGCTTTAATGCGGCCCAGCCGTGGCTTGCAGGTCGGGGAGGGGTTCTCTGAGTTTCCTAGGTGAGGGGGTTGGGGTGGGTGGGAGTGGGATGGAAGAGGGCAGCCCAAGGGGAGAGGACGTTCTCTGTTAGACCCCAGGGAGCTGGGGAATGAAAGGCGAGGAGGGGGGCATAGCAAATATCCTCCTAGGCATTTACCCTCGAGAAACCTGCTTGGGTGCCGTCAGAGAACATTTTCGAGGATGTTCACACCAGCACTGTTCGTAACAACAAAAACATTGGAAACACCTCCCAAATGCCCATTCACAGGGAGTGAGCAAATGAGCTGGAATATCCACACCATAGACTGTTACACAACCGTGAAATTGAATGAACTTCGCGGGCAGAGAGGCTAGATCTCGGCAACAATTTTGAATGAAGAAAGAAGTTGCAGAAAACTGTATAGACTATGGTGCAATTTTTAGAATGTATAATAAAAGCAAAACAAAAATATGCATGTTTAGATACGTGCATGGGTAGAAAAAACTTTTAAAGGGAAAGATAAACACGTATTTGAGAAGAATGGTTATCTCAGGGGAATGGGGGAGGAGGGGGAGAAGAGAAGCTTACAGGTACATCCTGGGTGTTGGTAATGTTCCAGTACTTGGGTAGCATAGTGGTTTTATTTCATTTCATAATATTATAAATAAATTAATAAATAAGGGGAAAAGAGGATGGGGGTGTGGGGCTAGATAGTCACAGACTCAGGGGGTGCGTGTGGGACACGGTGAGGGATTGATTGGTCTTTCCCCCTGAGAACACTGGAAAATCAGTGGAGGGTATCAATGGAGGCAAAACGGGATCAAACTTTTTTTTGGAAAAAAAAAAGTCTCCAGCTATTCAAAGTATGGTCCGGGAATCATTGGCATCGATATCACCTGGGGCTGATTACAACTGCAGACTCAGGCCACATCCCAGCCCATCCTTACAGATAAGGACACCGAGGCTCAGACAAAGGAAGGGCCTGCTTAGCACGTGTTGTAAGGGGCAGAGATGGGATTTGAAATCCAACTCTAGAACCTTCAACGCTCCGCCTTATTACTATCTCCCTATCCCTTGTCATGACTTTCAAGTCCCTCTCCAACATGTGGCCCTTGACTTCCCAACACATTCCCCAAACACTAGTCAACCTGGATGACTTGCTGGTCCAATAAAGGTGACCACAAGTTCTTTGCTCTTCTTCTCATTGCAAGATTTTCCTCCTTTTGTATCTGGGCTGGTTGGCGGGACTTGTTTGATAGAACGCAGTGGAAATGATATTCCTGGACTTTGAGCCTAGGTCATAAAAAGCCTTGCAGCGTCCACTGGGGCCTCTTGAACATTCTCCCTGGGAACCCTGTGTCGCTGTGTAGGGAGTCCAACTACCATGAGACCCATCATGCTGGAGAACCCATAGTTCTTTTTTTTTTTTTTTTAAGATTTTATTTATTTATTTGACAGAGAGAGCACAAGCAGGGGGAGTGACAGGCAGAGGGAGAGGAAGAAGCAGGCTCCCTGCCCAGCAGAGAACCTGGTGTGGGGCTCCATCCCAGGACCCTGGGTTCACAACCCAAGCTTAAGGCACACGCTCAACCGACTGAGCCACCCAGGCGCCCTGAGAACCCATAGTTCTTAAAGTCACTCCAGTCTTGCTGAGCCCAGCCTTTCCACCCCTCCCACCAAGAAATTCCACACATTTGTGAAGCCATGTTGGACCCTCCAGATCAGAACAGTTGCCGACTGAATATGGGACTTCAGTCATGCCATGTGGAACAGAAGAACTACCCACCTGACCCCAACCCAAGTTCCTGACCTACAGAATTGGGTTATTTAATAAAATTGTTACCTGGAGCCACTAGGTCTTGGGAGCAGATCGTTATGCAGAATGCAGCAGGAATGCTGGTGCCTACCCACCCCAGACCCCTCAGTCTCTGCACCTAAGTTTACTCCATCCTGACACCTGGAAAAGCCTTTTCCCAGATCCTGGACTATCAAAATGCTGCCTTCCAAGCAACTCAAAGCCAAAGAGAAACAATCAGGCTGTGTGCTGCATATCTTCTGTTTGCCCCTCCAAATGCACCCCCTACCCTTCTCCACATTGCTGTGTGCCAGGCAGCCTGACCACTATGGAAACACCAGCAGGCTCTCTTGCCCTCTGGCTTCTGGTTGGGTTTGGCCAATAGGAGGCACCAGCAGGAGATCAGAAAGTGGGAGGAGGGGGAAGTCAGGATGTTTACTCCTCTCCCCCTTCCGCCTTGTACAGTCAGCCACCGGGTGAGCTGTGTCTCTCCACCAAGGCCCCAGCTCCTGGCAGGTGGTCTTGTCCATATCCTACCAGTCCCTCCTGCCCATCTTCAAAAGCAGGGATTCCTTTTGTTACTAGCCTCAGGCTACTGTACCACCCCTTATTGCTCTCCATAAACTCTGCTCTGGATTAGGGTTCCCCCAGAAGTAGAGCCTGAGGCAAAGACTCGAGTACAAGTAGTTCATTTGGGAAGAGATCCCGGGAAACACTGGAAGGGCAGTGCCGAGTCAGACAGGAAGTGAGCTAATGCCAGCAGGCTACCTAGAGCTCAGTCCTTCAGCGGAGCTCTGTGAGACAGCGTAGAATGTCTCTCAGAGTTAACCCAGCTGAGGAGTGAGGAAGCTGGGAGGTTTATCTACCAACTGCCCTTTGACTTTGTTGGAGGGCTGTTTCCAGGACATCAACTTCCTGGCACTCTGGGCTGGCTCAACACCTGGCCAAACTTGCTCCCCTACAGCAGAGAGCGGGAGCCTGACTCCGGTATTAGCAGGAAAGCACAATGCAGAGGTGAGGCTGAGGGCATGTGGGCTGGGCACTGAAGGCTTCACCGACCCGCAGCTTCATAAATCATTTGGTTTTTTGGTCAGCTTTATTGAGGTATGACTGACAGATTGGAAGATACTGAAAGTGTACAATGTGATGATTTGATGGACGTATACGTGTGAAATGATTTCCCCGCATCAAGTTAATTAACACACTCATCACATATTTACCTCTTTTTTTTTTTTGTGAGGACATTTTTGTTTTACTCTCTTAGCACATTTCAACATCTCAGTTATGCAATAGTGTTATCAACCATAACCATCCTGTTATACATTAGATCCTCAGACCTTATTCATCTTATAACTGAATGAATATAATTCCTTTATTAAACTCCCCTCAATTATTCAGTCTGAGTATTTGCCTGGTTCCTGCCAGACAGATGGGTCTTGAACTTCTCCACATTAATCCAGGGTGGGCCAATGTCTACAGACTTGGAACAGGGGTGGAGAGAGAAAAATCTAGCTCAAGATCTAGTTCCAGCCAACAATGACAACAACAAATGCATGAAAACAGAGAATGAATTAATAAGAATTCCTCAATTGGAAATAACACTGGTCAGGAGTATCATCTCCAGTTACACAAAGAATTAAACTGGGACAATAGCATTAGTAACTTAGTACTTTAGAGCCAAAGGAAATTGTTAGAGTCGTGAGGAGGAAAAGTTACATAATAAAGAAAATCAGTCTTTCAGGGCAGATTATCAGTTAGGATAACCCTAGCTACTGTTACACATAGAATGTTACAAATACCCAGCAAATATGCTAGAAAAAGAGTTCTTACTTCTGTAACAGTTCTGAGTGGGTGTCGACTCTACCTGGTCCTTCTGGGACCTAGGCTGAATCTTCAATATGTGGGTCTCAAGGTGGCCCTGGGGGTCATCTCTATTCTAGCCATTCACAGGGTGAAGAGAGTAGGAAGGAGTGTTTGGGGGGCTCCAAAGTGGGACCCATCACTGCAGCCCACATCCAGTCACCACAGCTGGGTCATGTGCCACACTGAACTGCGGGGGAGCCTGGGAAATGTAGTCCAGCAGCACACTTGGGAAGAAAAGGAGCTCCAGATATGGGTGAGCATTAGCAGTCTCTGCTGGAGCGGGAATGCATCTTCCTCGAGGTAGCCCTTCTGCTCCTCTCCCATAAGACTTGTCATCAACTGTGTGTCAGAGAAGTCCCGTAACCAGGTGGATAGTCTACAAAGGCAGGACAGGGTCAACTTATCCTGGATCCCCAGCCCTAACGTAGGGCCTGGTGGAAAGTAGGAACTCGCTACCTGTTGGTGGAATGATAGAATGTAAGTGGGCAATCGAGGTCATTGTTCTCAAGCTTCTGAGATGTATGGGAAGCCCTTGCCGGAGCATGACCTTGTGTCCAGCCCGGTGCAGGGCTCCAGCTGCCTTGGATTAAGACAGGGCAAGATGATGCCTAAGGAAAGAATTTCAAGACGAGTCCCTCCCTACCCCCACACACTCATACAAAACTCATGTCACAATAATAACTATGTTTACTGAGTACTTATTTTGTGCTCCATCACTTACTCACATGCAGATGATTTCATCCGGAGACCCCTATCCCCCAGCGGCCCTATGATGTAGGTTCCATAATTAGCCCCATTCGCTGGTGGAGAAATCAAGACTCAAAGTGGCAAGAGGTGAAGCT